CAGTATCTGTTTTCCTAATACTCTTAAGTGATTGAGCAGCTGTGTTTTGTGTGCAATTTTATCAAGTGTTAATTGCTTTGCTGAGATGAAGTGTTTTATTGAAACACCAGTCTGTTGCCGAACCCTGCCTCCAACAGTGCAAAGTATATTTATGTGAATGAACCTTAGTTATAGCCTGACTGAGCAAGATTACAACTGATTCTGAGAATTTTTTACTAGCCAATTTAGAGTAAGTGTGTGCCATCTGTTTGCTACTCTTCTGACATACACGTTCTTCCTGAGAAAGCATTTAGCAAAAAAGTATAAGATAATATTTTATCATATGTATTTCCAGCCTGCCCAGTGCAGATTTAGCTGAATTTTCAGCTGTACTTAATGTGTATTAACGTATTCTGGTAGTGTTTTTATTTACATTATTTGAAGAGAGAATATAATTTTGAATCTAAGATTGTTGCTACTAGTTTTGCCCAAACTGATGTTTTAAATGGAGAGTCAGTAAATGTCATTGAGCGTTTCCACTGATTTCCCAAACTGCAAGTCAAATCACTTTCCTAAAAATACTTGGAAAGACTTGGTCAGTTACTTTTCAAAGACCTACCCACCATAATGACAACCCTGGTTTGTACGCCCCGTTTTTCGTTAATGGGCTAAAAACAGCTTTGGGAAGAAGGAATTAAAATAAAATGCAAAGAACAATTTGGTTGGCTATTCTTGATCACATTGCATTTGTTTTTCTATGAGAAGTTACAGGACCATTTTCAAATTGACCACAGAGAGCACTCTTGTAAAAGACTGAAAAACTGCTAGTATCTCCCTACCATCCTTTCCTTGTCACCTGTTGAATGACAATATTTTATCTCTTCAGATAAGATATTTTTATTTAAATTGAATTTAGATAAAAATTAGCAGAATAACATGGAGGTGAATCTGAAGCTAATTTCAGTTTAATTTTTAAAAACTGAAAAGTAAGATGTATGAATATTTGGTGTTTTCTCCTGAAGACAAACATTTATTGAGATATAATCTTCTTCAGTTTCCCTATTTAATATTATGTAAAGATGACTTAGCCTTTTGCTGGTCTTTGGTTTCTGTACTGCTGACCCTGCTCGAAGGAGTAAAACTAGGTAATGTATCTTCATTGATGTGCCAATGAAACTAGGTCTCAGTACATTGAGCTTTATACTATTAATAGAAACAGATAATGCTAAGGTTTATTTATGGTTTATTGGATTTATTCTTAATGGGCTTAAGTAATAGCACTTAAAAAAAAAAAGGAAGAAAAGAAAAAGGGAAAGAAAAAACCCTTGTGAGCACAGTTCATTGTACCAGCCACAGCGTCCGATTCCTTTTTTCAATTGCTCTGGAGTCATTCTGTAAACGATCTTTCACGTACGATACCTGAACGTTAAAAGAATTGTTTGTTCAAAGTGTTTGCCTTTGTAGGCTGGCGCTACCAGCTATTAAAATGTTGTGCTTTGATTTCCTTAAGTGGCATGCATCGTGACTTACAGTGCTATTTTGCCAAAAGCATCTTCTTCCAATTGGTAGAAGTGAGTTCCTTTGTGATCTTACTGAATAATGCATGATACTTCTTCTTGTATTGCAGTTTTACCTCACTGAACAATATAGCCTCGCTCTTCCTGCTAAAATTTACGCTTGGACTGTGACTTTCGGGGTTTTGAAGTTTTTATGTCGACTTCTTGAATTAGATTAATAAAGTATGTTAGTTTACTATTCTCTGTTAACACATTGAAAAATAAAAAAAATTCTGTGTTAGCAGATAGCTAAAATCAAGGCACAGTTATATTACTGTCCTTTATGGTGATTTTAACAATTTAAAGTAAGAGTAGATTTGATTGAGCTAGCAGAAGACTTTGACTTGATCTTATATCCCTATTTAAAGTAAATTTTATGGAACTTTTCATTTGGCCTACAGATTTTGGACTGTGACATTAAGTTGGTTTACTTAGTGTTACTACAGTACTCTAGGGGCATCAAACCTTTAAAAGGTTGGCGGTAATATAGGAGAATACTGTGTAAAGAGCTCTGTCCTTTATTCTTCCAAGGCTGATAAATAATTTCACAGAGGAATGTTTTAACTGTCATGATAAAGGTCAGTTTAAACTGGGAAATTAAAAAAATGCTTATTTGAACTAATAATGTCCTCGCCAAGTTGCTTACATTGGTTCACTATAAATGTAGGAAATAAATTGTCAGGTCGGATGTGTGCAGAGGGAAGGAGAAGCTGAGTGATTTGTTCTTGATATGCAAAGATTTGGGTACTCATTTCCTGTTTGCCCATATGTACGACCCTTATGCAGTTGTCTCTGAACTCAGGCACTTGCCTCTATTAGGAATAATCTTCATGTTGCTTGTATGTCTGAAATGTCCTTCTTAACAGAAAAATGAATAAGTATATTGTTCAATCTAATCTGCCACTCAGGAACATCTCTCAGTCTCTTCCATTTCCAGGAGAATTATTTGGCACAAGCATCAGTAAACCATTTGTGTGCCTTATGCGTTCAAGTATATTGGAAAGGTAAAATGTGTTCTATGCCAGTAGAATGATAAAGGATACCAGGTTTTGTTCCTGCCATAGGAAGAGGAAGGTAGAATATAGAAACTTTTTCACTGCAATTTACTTCCTTCCAAAATGCTTTGATTTGCTGCAAGTCAACCCTATGTAGTCTTCAGAAGTGGTTTTCAGAAGTGGCCTGAACAGTTAGAATAGCAGTCTGCTTTTGAACTGTAACAAGTCAAATTAGAGCTACAGAAGGCGTTTTCTGGCTGGAAAATTAGGCTACTTTTAAACTCACTTGCATTCTGCTTTCAGGTCTACGCTGCAGGGACCTGGTATCAGAGAAATGTTGTATATGCACTCCCACTGCGGTCAGTAATAGTTAAGGAGTTTAACACAAGCTGTGACTAGGCCATTGATTTATCTTAAGAATGGCTATTGTTTTTACTTCTTTTATAGGCAACTTGTCTTAGTATCATGTTTCTTAAGGTGCTCTTCTTACGGGTCTTAGATTGGAACGGTTTAAAAAAAAGCTCTTTTTACCTTTATTCTTAATTTTATTTTTAGTTATATATTTTTGATCTTTGGTAGCTTCTGACCCTTTGGAAGCTATCTTTAGGTAGCTTCTAACCTTTGTTTTTCTGTAATGTGCAAGAATTAATAATAATTTAGGTTTCTTTTGAACTAGTTTTAGAACACATGTAGGACAGCAAAGGTTGCTTTTGTTTAAGCCTCTTACTGCATTTTATATTTCACTTCGTGACTATTCAGCTGTTCTGTGGTTAATAATCTGAGTTCAAAAGATTTTCTTTTTATATTTTTGAAGTTTCATTTTTTTTCTAAAGAAAGCCATTCAGATCACATAGGTAATTGCTTTATAAGCATAACTGCTCCAGGAGTTCAGGATATTATGAGACTTTATTAACATAATTTATGTCAGAAGTTTCTTCTTGGCATATGTGTTGCACTTAAGACAATGGAATAATCATAGAGAAGTGAACCAATGAAGGCAGTACTAGGGTGAATTTTTTTGACTTATTTTAGGCTTAATGGCTATGTCTGTACTAGTAAAGTAAATGTGCTCTGAACTATTGGCAGTGGGACTGACTAGAAAAGAAGAGACAGCGTCCATATGATCAAACTCTTATTGTCAAGAACTGTTCAGCTACATCCAACTGCTTTGAGGAGTGATGCTTTGGCTATGCTAACTACCAAACTGCTCCTAGTAATTGGTTGGTATTAGCTCGCTAGAAAGCATTCTGACAGTTCACCCAGAGAGACAATCGAGCACCAATGCCCAGGAGCGCTCTCAGGAAGCATTTAATATACTAAATAGATGTTGCCATTCAGGATGAAGAAAAGAGGCTTCCATCTAATATGCTTAATGGAAGTATATGTAAATGCAAAGTTACAGTACAAGGAATGTTTTACTGTTTAAATTGATTACACATTTAAATACTTAATTTGCTTATAAAACTCCAAACTTGACCTAATAATGATGTTAAAATAATGAGCTGATGCCTGAATTTTCCAATGTCTGGGACAAGATATTAGAAATGCATACTGTACTTCAGTAACAGTTTTCATATTATAGATGGGAATGAGTAAAACTGTCTACTAAGGGATGAACCTTTTGTAATGCAAGTACCTAAAAAAATATACCACAATATATCACAGTGCTAAAGAAACGCATTAATCCTTTTGTTTATGTGCAAATGGTTTTCTGCGGTGAATTCTACAATTTTACAGTGAATTGAAAACATGCAAGTGCTGATTTTAGACAAGCTATAGATGTAGAGATATTTTGAGATGCGAATATATGAACATTTCAGTTTGGCTCATCTCCTTTCTTCTAGTTGCAGACACAGCTTTCATTAAATAGCAAAAGATTTGAGCTGACAAGCTAAGTCTTCTACTGGCAATCTATGATCACCTGAACTTGCTTGGTTTCTGGGAAAATCGTTATTACTAGTGTTTCAGAGAACACAGGGTTTCTCTTTAGAAACAGAAACACTTTGCTGCAAGTGAAAAATGGAGTTATGACTGGCCAATTTTAAAAATGAAATTGTACTTATCAATCACACGTAAAATACTTTTTAAAATTAACACTGATTTTTATCAGTGGTGAAATGCATAGTGACCACATAAATGCTTAATAAAAATCTAATTTGACTGAAAAAATCTTAAACTATTCTTTTTCAGTAGTGAAACTAACAAGTCAATCGTACTTTTCATGGATGCTCCTTTGTTACCTTAAAGGAAAGTGCTATTCAGTGCAATTAAGGCAGAATTTTGACAGTTAACTTATATTTGTGTGTTTTAGTGTTCTTGAGGAGATTATTTATAGAGATGTAGGGGTAGTACATTGATGGCTATGTAGGCACTGATGATCAGGGACATGACTGGATAGTTCAGGCTGTGACTCATCTTCTTGCAGAAATACTGAGTGAACTGAGATGACACCTTTTTTTCTTCCTCATAGTGCGCTGGAGAAGAGAATTGGGTGGACAGTCGGACTATTTATGTTGGGCACCGTGAACCACCTCCAGGCACTGAAGCATACATTCCACAGAGATACCCAGATAACCGAATAGTCTCATCAAAGGTAGTTGTGTTTCTTTCATTCATTTACATAAACCAGCTTATATTATGCTTTCTGTTAATTTATTTCCTCCAAGCATTTTTAGTTCCTATATATTTTTTCTTTACCATGACAACTAGTGGCAAAGATAAAGTGAAGATACCTCAGTTTTCTTCTACCAAAACTAATTGTCAGATTGCCTCTAGCATGAACAGGAATAAAATGACTCGTCGCTTGTTTAAAATAGTACATAGTACACTTTTAGAATGATGCTGTGCTTTTCCACACAGAGGTATGACATTAATTTTAATTTGGGGTGACCCTGGAGTAAAGGAAATCTTCCAAAGAGAAGACCATGTCCTTTGTAACCTAGGGCAATACCTCAAAATACTAGCAGTAATAAGATCAATACAAATGATCCACCAACTAAGCTATCTTCAGGATAACAGTGCAGTTCCCTTCAAAAACTCATATTCACAAAAAGCCCAAAGAAATAATATGGTATTATTATCCATCTTGGAGTGGATCATTCTTAACTCTTGGTATTTGTGATGTATTTGTGCCCTTTGAAAACCTCCCAGGTGTCCCTCACTTTAGCTTGTGTATCCTTCCTTATCCTCCAGCAACTTTCTGTGAGGAGGTAGGCTGTTGGTACCTTTTTAAACTCATGGCGTTGCTTTAGCAAAGGTCCATCCTCCACTGGCATGGAAAACTTTATCTGAATGTTGAACACTTGTGGCTTAGTATATGGCCAACAGCCTAGGAACTTCACATTTTTAATGCGCTTAGATTTTAGTCTTCATGATCTTCAAATGAACTAGGAAATAATCGATAACATAACTATCCTACTGAGAAAATTTATTTTTGGAGAGCAGCTCAGATACACAGACCTATTTAAGAAACTTAGTTCCACTGTAATCTTAAGGAGCTGAACATTTATGTATCTGTATATCTTATATGTATAATATGTGGCCAACTGGCAGTAAAACACTCACTTTTCTCAAGCTCTCTCTCAATTCTCATGTGAAATCTGAAGAAAATATATTTTACTAACTTTCTTCCATACTTCACTGAAAGACAGTACAAAAGCAAATAGCCTGGTACCTAGGCATCTTTAGTTAGACAGACTGTTCAAAAGACAGTGCAGTAAATAGTCCAGGTGGAATAAGATCAAATTAGCACAAGAGGAAATCCTGTGCTTTACACGAATAGTTTATATTGCTTTTTGGATTATTGAAGAGTAAACACATTTTACTCATATCTTTGTACGCCTCATACATCTCATCTGGGAGATAAAGCCACTGAAGTAAGTTACCGTTGACATGTTTTCAAATTAAAACATCTATTACATTATCTCTTTATTTCTGTACCATTTTGTAGCAACTGAACTCTTGGAGTTCTTTACTCTCACCCTTCTAGTATATCTTTACTGGCCTTTTGGGGGCTTTAGTCTTGACAAATTTTCATGTTACAAATATTAGGTCATTATGGAAGACTAAAAATGATTTTCTTCAAATTTCTGTAGGTTTTCTTTTTCTTTATGTGATTTTCAGCAGATAAAAAAAAAGCTGGAATGACTTTTCTGCTCCAAAGAAGTTGATTTTATTCTGTGTTCCTGAGAATGCTTAGTATGTAGATTAAGTAGCTCCATTTCATTTATGTTCAAATGTTACAAAATTGTATTCATATCAGCAATAACATTGTTTAATTGAAAACCTGATCTCATTTGATGAAAAGCTCCTTAACAAGTGTGCAATGAAGAAATAGAATTCATAGTATTACTGTCACTAGTGTCAAGCATGGAATCTGTAGACTAGCTGGGAGAGTCTATTTTCTGAGGTTTTTAAGAAAATAAATTGTTTTTCTTCAGTTTTGTTTATTTGAAAACATTACATATTTAGATGCCTCAAAAATAGATTATTTTTGGATACTTTTTTTTAAGTTAACATTTCTATTTATTTCAGTCATTTAAAGTAAATTCATGACAAAACGAGAAAGGAAGGATTTCTGTATTCATCCATAAACATTAAATGAAATTAATGGCTAAAAAAGTCAATGTGATTATGGAAAAAAAATCACCTACAATCCTCATATTCATAAAATGAAAAAGTGTAAAACATTAAAAAAAACTATTCTTCTACCTGCTTCCTGTGCCCTTAGCTTGTTCTGAGTACTCAGCCCTGTTAAGATGTTTGACATCTTTTTGTGATGCTGAAATTGCTCTAAGTTTACTCTCCTTTGCAGAATGAGCTTTTAGGTATGGCTTAAAGCTGGTTTGAGCAGAGGATCCTTGCGTGCATTTAGTAAACGTGGGATTTCAACTAGTTCAAAGAAGAGACTTCACTATATTTTTATTTAGCTGTAAAACACGTTCAGTTAAATGTTTTAAATGTTAAACTCTTTAGTTGTCAACTATAAGTAGTTCTCCATGAACAAAATTTTATTAGTGGGAGTAATTTTTTATCTTAAATTTTTCTCAAATTTGCCATTTATTCATTCAACTCATTATACTTCTAAACATTTCTAAGTCTTCCTGTGAAAGAAAATACTACAGTGTTATTTCAGGAGGGAAGAGAGTTCACATACGTGCATTATAATGTCGTACAATTTGTTGGACTGCTGATGAAAGTTCAGTTTTAAAGACAGTCTTTTACGAGAACTTTCCATTCTACCTTGCCTGTACTATTCCTTTCAAGTAAACTCTATTATTCACATACTCCCCAAATAGCCTGGGCAAAGCACCATGCTGACTTGGCTTATATTACTTTTGGTTCTGTAGGCTAGCTAGCTCTTAACCTTTCACTGTCCTCACCTGCTCCCTTATGTACCCCTTAGGGGAGCACCTAGTGCAAGTTAGGAAACACAGCCTTAACCTTACTGAAAAATGATTAAATGTACAAAATTAAAACGTGAAATCCATAATTGTTAAAGTAAAATACGTACACGCAAGCACACTGTGTAATGTTATCTCAACCATGAAGGGTATTTCCTTACTCTTTTCACTGGTAAGACAGACAATAACTTTCAGCTATGGTTTTATAGGTCTTTAATGCTCATACAAGAAGGAAGATAATTGCTCTTCAAGGATGAGGGACTCTAGACTTCTAAGTACAGATTTTATCAACTTAAGGCCAACTAAACTTCTGAAAAGTGATATTTAAACAATGAAGAAACCTCATGAATTAGACTGTCTGTATGCTACTATACTGACAAATGTCCAGTCATAAAACCCCAAAAGATATGGTAGCTCGAAATAACTAGGAAAATCTAAGTTTCATATCATTAGTGTTTCCAAATGTAAACTAGGCTTTAGCAGAAGTTTCCTGGTGTCAGCAAGATAAAAATTTGATTCCAGTGCAGAAGGACATTTTTTGTATATTGCAATGTTACTGTGCAACATGGCTGATGTTCTGTCTGCTTTCCTGGTGGTGAAAAATGATTTCTGAACAGAGCTTGACCAACAAAAATGTCCTTTTGATTTGATGTGTTAATTCAATTATGATTTTAAGAATGTACTACGAAAAGCTGTGTTGAAATGAGAGAGGGCTTAAATTAATGTCTTGTGGATTGTGCATAGAATTGGCTTATGTTCTAAAAGTATTGACCTTTGTAACGGGGATCTTTATGTTGACCTAATTTTTAGCTAGTTCAGCTGCATGGGCTTTTAAGGTAGCTGTTGTGTACCCTTGATTGAATTTATCATTTGACAGTGATGCGGTATGGCAAAATACCAACTGGTAGAAAATCGTAACGTTTCAAAGGAAAAAAGTGCAAGTAAATTGAATTGGGGGTTGTTGCTTGCTTTTTTTCCCCTTTAAAAATAAATCAAAATTTGAAATAATTTACTGATTCTATTAATTACAGAGTAAAAAGGAAAATAAGTTAAAACCATACAGGAGTGTAGCAGTTAACAGAATTTGATCGGAAACAACATTTATTTCCGTCTTCTGAATCAGGATAACATAAAAAGTTTTATTTTGATTTGTTTTTCTTCAACCTGACCAATTATAAAATGACTAGTTAATATGAAACTTGCTTAAGGTCCAAGCTTCTTATTTTTATTGTGCCCGGAGTAACCCAACCAGTAAGCTAAAGAGAATATCTTTGCATAAATAATAGTGTGTCAGTGTGCCTGTCTAGCTAACATGGCAATGACATAAGAATTGCCAAAGGTCCGTCTAGCACAGTATGTCGTCCCCAGCCTAGCGAAGAACGCAAGAACAAGCAAGCATGGAATGATAGTGCCACTGAACACTCTCTTAGTATTTACTAATCTATGATTTAGGTATTTGTGAGCCACAAGTGATGACTTGGTGTTCAGTAGCCTTTGGATGTCTCATCTGTGAATTTTTTCCAATACTTTTTGAACCCAAGTAAACTTTCAGATTCCGTAGCTTCTTGTGGCGAACATTTCTACAGCTTAACAGTACATTAACTGTGTCCCCTTTATTGAAACTGCTACTTGCTAATTTCATTTGATTCTCCAAGTCCTTGAATCTGAAAACAACCATTATCTAATCCCTGTTTACTTCTCAGTTCTGGTTATGATCTTCTGCCATATTCTCTTCTAGACTGAATAATCTTAGTCTATTCAATTATGCTTTGTGTAGAACTTAGTTCATACCTTTGCTCATATTTCTCTGTACCTTTTCCCAAGTCAGCTATAGAGTTTTTAGGATGGAGAAATATGCACAGCATTTGATGTATAGGCTAACTGTGGATTTATACAGTGGCATAATGATGTTCTCAGCTCTTTGTTCATTTGTTAATAATTTGTAATATTCTATTTCCTTTTTTGGCTGTTGCATTGATCTGATATATTTATAGAACCGCTGTGCTTCAAGGATCTCATTCATGTGTAGACACAGTAGGGCTTTGCATCTCCCAGCTGAGTCAATGAACTAAAGACTGGTTTGATGTGTACATCTGTCTCTTTTTTGAACAAGAGGGAGGAGTCTATAGACACGAGATCTTTTTGAGGGAACAATGTGGAGCTCTGTGAGGACTTGTCTGATTAGAGTTGC